CTTGTGATGGGAAGCTGCACACATTCTTCAAAGCTAATGTCCAATAAAGATAATGCAAACTCTGAAAGATTGTACAGCAAAGAAAGGAACTCTGTGGGATGACGAGGCTGCTTTATAACTTCTGAGAGTTATAAAACACCGTTTCTTTTGTTTATATCATAAAGATTGCTAAGATTAAATTCAATTCCAGGTAGGAGGAAATCATTCTTTATAGCTAGGATATGCTTTTTCAATCCTCTACTGGGTATGGAGAAATGATTAACTCTCGGGGAGGTGGTGGCCATGCCTGTCTCATACTGACCTACGCTCTATTCTGTCTCCTCTCATCATAATGCCATGGGAGTGTAAACCAGTTGGTGACCACCTTTTGGAGGAAAAGCCCCCAAGGTACCACCAGCAACCAGTTTAGGTATATATAGTCAGTTAAAAGGCCTGAAGTCTGGACACATAGGGTCAACAGTAGGAGTTATTTGTCTTTCAAACCAGGACTCTTGAGAGTGAAGAGGCTTCTAGAAATAAGATTCAACCAGGACAACAGGCATCACCTCAAACTGTTCCGTTTAAACCAGGACGTATGGACGCCTTAGTAAAGAGTCACAAAGCTAACAGATGAATTCACGAATCTTATGTAAAGTCACAGGCCACCATTGACCAAATGTTTGGTGACATTCTACAAACAGGTGGTTTTGTAACTGGTGACTGAAGCCGAAAGACTGATGCAGGTGGTCACCCCTGGGGGGGGGGGGGGAGTTGCTGGTGGAGACAGATAGACCTAGGGAAAATGCTGAAACTATGAAACTATGGCATTCTGTGGTGGGGCTACCAATAAGAAATATAAGTGACTGCAGAAGGGCACGCAAATTCATTCAGTCTTTGGGATTCAAGGTTTTGGTTTCTTTGGCATTTGGAGTCAGTGGATTCTAGTTGATCTTCAGAAGGCTACTGCAGGCCTCTGAAAGTTGAAGCCTCCAGCAGTCAACCTCGAAGAGGAAAAGTTCGGGGCTTTGCCATTAGCTGAACCACTGAAACTGTTCTGGTTTTGCTGCATGTTGCATCCTGGCAAAGAAGGCGGAGACCCCGGAGCTGGGCACCTCGCAGAGTTGCGAGACTGTGGCTGTTTGCCTGTTCACTTGGCCACTGCAGCTACTGTTTTGAGTGTTGCTTTTCTGGTGCTTCCCTGGGGGCACCCTGTAGCTGTGGTGGTATCTCCTGTTATGTCTTCTGTTTTCTTTGTGAGTCAGAGCTTAGCCCGGATTCTGGCTGCCTTGGGCTTGTGGCCTATTGCTCCAGATAGGAGCTCTGTGTCCTCGGGGTCATAAAGATGACATTTTAGGTGCTTCTGTGTAGGCCTGAGGAAACACTGGGCACAGCTTTGGGTTAGGTAAATGACCATTATTGGCCTCAGGAACTCTGTTTTTCCCTGTTTTTTTTTGAATAAAACCCTTTGTTGTTGTTATTCCTTCAGCCTGGGTAGGCTTGCAGTTGTGTGTATGGGGGAAGAACTCAGACAGTGACTGGTAAACTCTTTGCGCAGTATCCTGGGCCTATATTAGAGTTTCTACTGCCTTATACCAGTTTCATGTGTTTGAAGCTGATGAGGACACTTCCCACAGTACTGTGGGTGGCCTGGAGTCATGAGAGGGTGGCAGGTGTAGTATTGTGGTAAGAGAGCAGCCCCTGGACTCATTGCTTGGTCCAAATTCAGTTATGAGCTGTATAATATTCAGTGACATAATCAACCTCCCAAACTTGTCCATTTTAAAAATAGAAAGTTCCTAACTGTCTTGTTTAGTTATTAAGAATTTTAATTGAGGGCCCTCCTGGTGGTACAATGGGTGAAGACACAGTACTGTGAAGTGTGGCACAGCCGCTTCAATGCAAGTTCAATCCCCTGCCAGGGAGGTTACCCACATGGCACAGAAGACCCTCCCCTGACCCTCCTGCTGTTCCCCTCTGAAGTGTACTTCTTCTATCTGCTTGTTCTGCTCCCCGCTCTGGTGAATCTCCTCACTGGAGGTGAATATCCCTGCACCTCCAGCATATACTCCAGTTCTGATGCATAAATAAATAAATCTTTAAAATAATTTTTAAATGAGAAAAGCACTTAGAATAGTGTCTGGCTCATAGTAAGTACTCAAGATATATTAATTATAAATTTTGTTATTATTAGAAATACACTGAACTCACAATTAGGAACTATGATTTAAGCCTGAGTGCTACTACTGGCCAGGTAAATGACTTGGGACAAGTCACTTGAGTCTTGAACCTTGGTTCCACTTACCATAAAGGGATGTTTGAAGAAAAATTAAAAAAAAAAAAAAAACAAACTACATGTGAAGTCACTTTTAAACTATAAATAGCCTGAAATGCCAGTTTTTATCTTTACTTTTATTATTATTTAAAATATTCATTTCTTTATGCATACAAGAGCTGGGGTACAGGCCAGAGGCATGGGGTGGGGGGTGGGGAGAGGATTCACCAGAGACAGAGTGGGGAGCAGAACAGGCAGGTTGACTGAAACATACGGAGCAGCGGGCGGGCCAGCAGAGGTCTGGCAAGCCATGTGAGTCACCTTCCTGGTCAGGGATTGAACTCGTGCTCTGCAGTGGCTGCCAATAGCTTCATAGTGCTGTGCTTGAATCCATTGCACCACCAGGGAGGGCACATTATTATTATTTTCAATTGACAAAGACTTCACTTATAAATGAAGAAGACAGATCCTGACCTTCAGCTCTCTCTGAATTATAATGGTTGTGTATTCCCTTTCCCATGGCAGTTTGCTATTGGCAAAGGCTTTCTCTATTTTCTTGCCCATTTCAATCTCACCATTATTTCAGAAGGTGAACAGATATTTTCCCCATGAGGGAAAATCTAAGGCTTTGAAAGCTTAAATACTATGGTCAAGATTGAGCTGTGGCAGAACTGGTCCTTGTTATAAGATTAATGCTAAATATTTAAAATTAAAATTCATATAAAATGAATATAATATTATATACTATATAATATATGTAAATTAACATAACATAAAACCATTTTGTTCTCAGTTCCCTCACTAATCTTGCTTGGATTTGTAGGCACTCCCTGCCCCCAATGTAATATCACTGTTTATAACTGTCATTTTGTGCATATATAATATTCACAGTAGTATGTGTTACTGACTCTAGAATTTGAATTCCTTAATATGATAATTTATTATTTTAAAATTTTTCTCCAGATTGTTTGCCTCCCATACTTTCTCTCCAATTTATTTCTGTTTCTACAAACTTCAATGCATATATATCTCCATGATCCACCATTTTAATCATTAACATTCATAATACTAAGAGTTTTAGTTGAAGGGATACACTCAATCTTTCAGTGATATTTGGACATGGCATGGATTAGCCACTTACCAGGCATTTGCTTTAACTCTCCTGTTTCTGATTTAGACACTTTCACCTATTTCATGGCACTGAAAAATCATTAGAAACCTAGCTCACAAATTCTTAATTTTTCCTCACCTGTTACCATCTTGGATTTTACTTTAATTTTTTAAAAGGTTTCCATTCTATCTCAGATATTAATATTTCTTTGATGTTTTAAATATATATGTAGTTTTTATTAGTGATTCTATTACTTTTGTGATATAACTTCTTAAGCTATAACTTTAAGAGATGGCCTTCGAGGAAAATAGGAGTTTGCTTTTAAAAGAGGACCCCAAAGAATCCTACAACATAATGCAACTGCTATACATTTTGCTAAACTTCCATTTAGTCTTTTTACCATTTTTTTATGTTGTTGAAAACAAGTAGACTGTAATACTTTATAACTTGCTTTATTTATTTATCATAGTCTAACCCTTATTTGGGCTTTTAAAAAATTAGAGTAATGGATGCAAACATGCTTGGTTTTTGAGTTGTTCCTAAATTTTCGCTTGTGTAAATAATGCTTCAGTAAATACACACTGGTATAAAGCTTTGCCTATATTTTGAATTATTAAATGGGCTAGGTATCAGATAACAGGCGTCAAATATTCATTAGACTAAATGTATTATGAATCTTTGAAAAAGTCCTGGATAGTGACCTAGTAGCAAATCCAAATCATCAGGGAATGGACAAAATACCAAATACTGTGAAAATTCCTAAACAATTAGCTATCCACACAGAAGAAGGATATCCAATCCTTATTTCATATCACATTACAAACTTGAGATAAATTAAAATTTAGTTAGAAACAGTCAGTTATAAAACTTTACCAGAAAATTTACTTTTTATGTCAAGATAGTGAAAGAATTTTTAAAGAAGCTACTAAAAGCTGAAATTATAAGACTAAAACATAATACATTTTTCAATATTAAGGTAACTTTTGCATGTAAAAGACAACAAAGCAAAAAGACATAGTCAAAAATTTTAAGTGAGAAAAGAGGGTATATATGAAATGTATGTTATTAAAGCACAGTATTAAGCAGATTGATCCATAAAAATATGTATTGGGTAAAAGAATGATCTGAAATTGTACAAAAGAAATTGTACAAGAGAGATATTAAAGACCAGTGAATCAGGAAATTGTGTCCTTTCTTTAGTCATGGAAAATGCAAAGCAAACAATGTTAAATAGCTTCTGCCAGATACTGGCAAAATTTGAAATTTGTCAATACTAAGTTTAGCTACACATATTCTTATACTGTCATATGGGAATGCAACTTGGTGTAATCACCTTAAAGTAATTTGTCAATGTCTCTTAATATGAGTGATTCATATATCTTATCAACATATAGATTCATGTCTAGATATTTTACACTTCTAGAGAAATTTTCATATGTATATAAAAAACAAAATATCATTGTATCATTTTTTTTTAAAGATTTATTTATTTGTGCATACAGAACTGGGGTACTGGCCAGAGGCTCAGGGGCGGCGAGAGGCTTCACCAGAGACAGAGTGGGAAGCAGAACAGGCAGATCGACGAAGTACACTGCTGAGGGGAGCAGCGGGCGGGTCAGGAGAGGACTGCCACACCATGTGGTCACCTCCAGGGCAGGTGGGAATCGAACTCATGCAGAACTGGCTTTAGCTTCTTAGTGCAATGCTTTAACCCACTGTGCCACCAGGGAGGGCCTCATTGTATCATTTTAAGGAACAGAAAAAATAGGAAATAACAACATTAACTACCTTAATTCTCTTCTTTTTTTTTTTATTTTAAAGATTTATTTATTATTCATACAGAGCTGGGGTACAGGCCAGAGGTGCAGGGGTGTGAGAGGATTCACCAGAGACAGAGTGGGGAGGAGAAAAGGCAAATCAACAAAGTACACTGCTGAGGAGAGCAGAGGGCGGATCAGGAGAGTTCTGCCACACTGTGTGGATCACCCCCGGGGTGGGGATCAAACTTTTGCTGAAGTGGCATTAACCTTCTTAGTGCTGTGCTTTAACCCACTGCGCCACCAGGGAAGGCCCTAATTCTATTCTTAAAGAAAGAAAAGACAAGTATGAAATATTTGTCCAATACAACACTCTGCCAAAGTTTAAGTAAATTGGCAAATCCACAGGTAGTAATGTAGATATATCTCAAAGGCAATATGTAGGATACCAAAGGATATTTATAATTAAATTTCTTTAAATTGTAAAATACACCAATTGTATGCATTAACATGTTACACTAAAAATTAGTATTTCTTAACAAAATTAACAATTATATTTTATGTTGACAGCATATAATGAGTAATAATCTTTAAAGATTTATTTATTTATACATACAGAACTGGGGTGCAGGCCAGAGGTGCAGGGGTGGTGAGACAATTCTCCAGAGACAGAGTGGGGAGCAGAATAGGCAGATTGACAAAGTACACTGCTGAGGGGAGCAGCAGTAGGTCAGGAGAGGTCTGCTGTGCCATGTGGATCACCTCCAGGGCTAGGGATCAAACTCAGCACTGAAGTGGTTGTGACTCACTTGCAGTGCTGCGTCTTAACCCGTTGCAAATATAATAAAAGAGAAAAGTTCTGGTTTAGGATTTCTAAATTCAGTGATGCCTGTGAATGGCCTGCTGAAATTCCACATGCCCCTTGAACTTTAGAGGAGACTATATTAGGTCAGGCCTTCAAACATTTTTTTTAGCAGAGGAACCACATTTTAAAGAAAATCTCACACCACAGCATGTAAAATAGGTGCAATAGGTCAAAACTACTCAGGTCGAAAGGGAGAGTCACAACCTTGTGGTCTCCACTTCCCATCACCACTGCCCCACCCTGAAGATGGGGAATAAGCAGAAAGCAGTTTGCAGATCCCTAAAAGAATGACTTCTGAGGCAGTTGCTCCCATGACAGCTTGTGTGTCTGTGGCTCTAAGTGTTTCTTAAACATCAGCCCTTCTCTGGAGGCCTGCCATATACATGGACTCTGTAGGGAACAGGCAGATGGATGGAAAAATGCTTTTTACTTTTAAATACGATCACCTATTGTGACCACTCCCTGATTCAAATGTCAGTTAGGATTTCTCCCCATATTTAAAATCATTACTTCATTTAATTTTTCCGGCTCATAACACTTCCTTTTCCTCCCTAAAGGTAAACTGTCACATTCTGTGTCCTGACCTTTTCTGCCTCCTTTTCTTATGACTTTGGCCTCTTGGTCCCTGCTCTCCTCTGCTCTCCCTCTCATCCAAGAGCCTGCCCCAGGCCCCCACCCCACCGTCCCAGTAAGGGTCCTGGAACCCACAGTGTCACTTTCTCATCACTCACTTTCTCTTAACCCTTGTACTCACTTATTGATTGCATTTAGTTGGAAAGGATTTATAGCCACTTGCTAATCTAAAAGATTTCCCCTGGTCCTCAAACTCTTTTTCTCAGTCCTTCACATCAGAGTAGAGGGGTGGGGGTGGGTCATTCCCCCAGTCAGCCAAGCTCAGAAACAGGTGCATTTTGGGGATTTTTCATTTTTGCTTCTTTCTTTATCTGTTGAATTTCAGAGAAGTAACAAATAATTGGGGAGAAAAAGGTCCCTAGACTGTTCTAAAAAGATATTCTGAAAAAAAAAAAAATTTTTTTTTTTTTTATCAGAAGTTCTAATATACCTCAGAGTCTGGTATTTTTATTTGCTAGTCTAGCAGCCCTGCTTTTCTGTACAACTCCTCCATACTGTGCCCTCTCCCTGGAGCTCCATCTGTCTCTCTCCCTCAGCGCACAGCTCCTTCCCCAGGCCAGGATTCTTTCACGGGCCTGCTTCGCTTCCCTTTGGCCCTTACTCCTCTGCTATTCCATATGCACTTGTCAGATCATTTCTCTGCACCAGAGCTCTGGGCCACTGTCCTTGCCCTGCCTTCCCCCAGCTCATATTTCTAAGGGCTTCATACACTCCTCAGGCTCTCTGAACAGAGGCCTCTGTTAGTGCTTGGTTTTTCTGACCACTCTTGCCTCTGCCAAGTCAGCTGCTATTCAGTCATACTGGCTCAGTCACCCAGTTGCAGAAAATGTGATTCTTCCTAGGATTTTTCATTTTTGTCTACTTTACCCACAAACATAGCTAGTCTGCCTTGCCACGTGCCTGGTTTTGTCTAAATAAGTCATTGTTGAATGAATGGATGTCTCCTGGGTTTGTTTTTTTCCATCCTGTTAACGCCACTTTCATTCACATTGTCATTGCCCTGTGCTCCTTTTGGTAACTGCACCCTACAAGGGCTTGCCTTTGTCCAGGCTAGTCTTGAAGTCCCTCCAAACTGATCTATACAAGTCATCTTATTTAAAAAAAAAAAAAAAAAAGGCAGAAGAAAAAGAAAAAGCTTTAATTTTTTAAGGAGATAGCACATTCAGGTGACCCAAAGTTCAAAAGGTTTAATAAAGGAGAATGTTGGAGTCTCAAAGGGATCATTCACTTTTATCTCTTGTCTTCCTGATTTTGTAATATATTGACCGAGATAGAGTGGGGAGAAAGATAGAGATCAAAAGCTAGGTGAAATAATTAGATCTGGTCTGATCTACCTTGCTCATCTTTCACTCCACAATTAAGTTAACACTTAGCCACAGGCCCAGCTGGACAACATGAGATTGCTTGCTGGGCTCTGCTTTTGTAAAGTTTGGGATTGGGAGAGACTGGGAGCTCACTTTCAGCAAGCAGACTGGTTCCACTGCAGAGAGAGGCTGGAAATCATACATACACTCAATACCTTTTGTCCAGCTTTTCTATCAGCTTAGTTACTCTCTTTTTCCTTGGGAGGGGCAAGAGAAAACTGGGGCCAGGGCCGGGTGTTAGATCCTGCACGCATCCCAGCAAGTGTGCAGATGGATATAGGTATGCTACAAGATGTCAATCACTTTATCCTTAGGGGAAAAGTGGTCCAAAATCTAATCTCACCCTTTCTAGCCCTGAGCTGCCCATCAGTAACTTAACTTTCCCCCAGATTACCCCTGATGACATATTTCAATTATTTTCTGTGTGTGGCATCATGGGAATTGCTGGGATGCATATTTATAGACATGAAGCCAGATACACACAGAAAATCTTTCTTCTCAACCTCCTTGCTGCCACCAAGTTCTTCTCTTCTCTCCGTGGAGGAAATCAAGTTTCTCTCTATTCTCTCTCTCGACATATACATATGTATATGTGCATGTATACAGAAATACACGTGCACATATATGTATATATACACACATGTATATGCATGGTTATACATATGTATGTATATGCACACACAGATTCTAGACCCTTTGCTTTGAAAAATATCATGAAGTAGGTCAAGTGCTTTAATGAATAGCCACCAAACTCAAAGACTTAGCTCAGTAGAGGCTTACTTTTGTCCCAATCCAGGGGGGCCTTTGGACCAGTGATGAGACCAGTGAGTTCCAGAGCCATTAATGGTGCAGATGTCCCTGACTCTAGTAGCTTTGCAAGTCTCTGGAGATTCAGGAGTCTCTATGAACTAACAAAGGCAGGAAGACAGCATGAAAATCTGGGGGGACATGAGGGGCTAGGCTTGGAAGTGACATAGATTCTGTCTGTCTACATGCAGTTGGTTATACCTTTTCTGTATGACTCAACATGTCTTACAGGAAATGCAGCCTAGGTGTCTGGTCAGGAAAAACAAGAAATGGGGTGCAGTGAGACAACCACATTTTTTCCCCTATATACTGGATATCTGTTCTGCACCTTTGTCTTTTGAATTGACAATAAATTTCATAGACCAACCAGATCAGTTCATACAGTTTCCTCATCCTTTCTAACAGTTGCATAACATGCAGTTTTATGGATTATACCATATTTATATGTGCTTATGCCATAACCATTGCATGTTCAGTCATCCTCAATGCTTTTTTATTTTCCATTCAGTCATCTGCGCTTAATACTCTTGTCCTTATATCATATCATTCCACACATGTGTAAACAAGTCTGCAGAAGAAAATCTCAAGTGAGGTCTTGCTGAATTGAATGCTATAAACATTTAACATTTTGATACCTGGCACCAAATTACCCTACTATTTTTATCCTCCAAATTGTCATTTTATTATTTAACATTGCTTGTGGTGCATGAATATAGGTCAAATCCCTCTTCAGTGCATCAGAGAGAAGCTCAGAATCTGGTGATTTACCAAGTCTATTTTTGCTCTCCAAGTGCACCTTGCACTCAACCCACCACTTCAACAATTTCTTTCTTTTAGGTTGAGGCAAAATGAACTCCTTCTGAGAAACAGCTGGGGCTGGGTGCTAAGCAGAACCCTTTACTTCTACTATTAAATTTAATCCTTGAAAGCAACACTAGGAAGAGACGTTTGCATGTTCATATTGCAAATGAGAAAGCCAGCGCTCCAAGTAAATAGACTAAAGGCATGAAATTAGCGTGTAGTTGATTTTCTTCAGGCATTCTGAATCTACTCTCCTTTCTCCTACCCAAATGCTTCCTTACCAAAATACCTTAGAGCAGAGGGAAGACATGCTTGCCCTTGAGCTGTCTCTAGGTACTGAGATAATTCTCTTTGATGTTTTTCATCTGTATTAAAAATGTACATAAAAGTTGAATTGCACTTTTAATATATCCATGATTGTTTAAATGAT